TAGGTGTCAGGGCCGACACATGGATAGCAGGTGTCATGCCCCTTGGGGTGGACATGCAGGCTCATGCACAGAAAGGTCAGTGGAAGGCCATAGCAGAAGGCAGCACATACCTCCAGCAGAGCCTGGATGGCAAACGAGGTGTCCCAGATCTGTGAGCCATTGGTTCCCTGTACACAAAGAGCAGCCATTATAGTGCCACAGGTTCCACACACCCACTCCCATCTCCCAAGATCTGACAAGCACCTGGGGAGAGCCTATGAGAAGGCTGGTGGGTTCAGCTAGAAGCCTCTGCCTTCACAGTCCAACAGCTAGGACTGTAGCACTCTTAGGAAACTCCAGGATCAGACGACCATCTTCAGATTGCCACCTATACAGAGCATCCACCCCTCCTCAGCACATGGAGCCCAGTCTTGGTGATGACTGGAAACATGCATTATTCCAAGTACTCCTGGAGGTGACAGGACCCAGCTGAGATGCCAACTAGGGCCCCAGTGGGGCTGAGAAGGTCCCACCTCACACTACCCCAGGAGCATGATCCATGGGTCAACATTCAGTTATCAATTCAGTAGGCTTGTGGCCAAGCCCCAGAGAGAGAAGGGGCTGGACAGTGACCTCAACGAGTATGAAGTGGAAGCAACATTCAGATATTGTGTCCCAGAGGGACTTGTAGGAAGGACTTGCTACCCCAGGCAGTCTCATCTAATGAAAACCAGTGGCCAAGCCTGGGCCTGAGAGACAGTTTACAGAACCAGGGCATAACAGGAGCCTCCAGGTAGGTCTGACACAGAGCCCTGCATGGACAAGTGGTCCAGGGAAGAACACAGGGGACTGATGTGGACTAATGCAGCTTCAGGGGCCAACAACAGATCCCATGTGGATCTGGTTCAGTCTTGACTCAAATCAATCACTGTAGAAGAGAAACTGGACTCTGGAATCATTATTACTGAATGTAACAACACAGAATGATTTTGTGAAAACAAAGATGGAGACCTTATGAATAGGAAATTCCCACACAAAGGTTGGTCAAGAAAGGCAGGGAGGCAACTGCCCTCTCCAGGGCTCACTGCTCCCCTCTACATGTTTTAAAAACCTCTTTTTTCTTTTTACTGGTAGAGGGCATATACACATACCAGCGAGAGAGAGAGAGAGAGAGAACCCCAGTGGTGTGTAGTCACACTGCAATCCTTTTTCTTCAATTTCTCCATCCTGTCAGAATTTGGGGCATGCATGCACACACCTGTCATATTTTTCAAGTCACTGGGGTGACTTGAACCATGGTTGGTCATGTGGTATCCAGGTCCCTATGCATAGGGCTTAATCACTGTACTTTGGGGCCAATCCTGTTTGGAAAATCTTTCGACACAGTAACAACTGTGTACACAGAGAGCTTGGAGAGAGCTCAAGGCTGATCTGGGAAAGACCCTGGTCCCAAGGTGAGCTCCAGGGTGGGAGGTACACTTGTACATTGAGGCAGAGTACAGCAGACAGATCTGCCGCAGCAGTTGCCTCAGCAAAACAGAAGAGACAGAACGACAATGTCTGAGTCCCAGACATGCACAAAGTGGTGGGAGTCCAACCCAGCCAAACATGACCTACAAGGCCCCTGTAGCTGAGACACGACCAGGTTAAGCCAAGGTCTGGTCTGAATCAGGCCCCTGCTGCCAGTCAGGAATAATATCACCTATAATACCAGAGGGTCAGAGTGAGCCCAACTACAGAGCAGGATGTAGACAAGAGCTAATCGGAGCACGTTGAGGAGCTGGGGTACAGCCAAAGGTCTGCCCTCAAAGGGGCTCACCACTATGCCACAAACCCATAGGTGAGCTCTCTCCTACCTTGACTCCACTGCACTCCTGAGTGTGATCTGTCAGTCACTGTCAGCACACCACCTATGTTGGCAGTCAGATGGCTCTGGGACAAGGTCACACAGAGGATGTTTTGACCTCAGTGTCTCGTAAGAAAGTATTAGACTGGCCCACTGAGAACCACATGCAATATTCAGCCCTTCCTGACCTGTAGTTCTCATCCATTTTGACCTATGGACCTTTGAAAAATTCACCAGAACCCGCAGGATGGTTGTAGACCCTCAGCTCTCCTGTATCCCCTCAGAGGCCAAGGACCGGGCAGGCATCCTACCCAGATAGGAGCACCTCTGTTCTGGTCCATCATAAGGCCCTGCCTGGGAATGATCTGGAAGCAGGCAGTTCCATGCTTTGTGGCTGAGCTTCCTGAGAAACCCACCTATTCTCCCTTGGACTCAACACCCCTCACACTAGGCTCTAGCTGGGCTCCACCTAGTCCAGAATGGAAGTCCTGGAGCTGCTCCCAGTCCTGTCACACCCCACACTGCCCTCCAGGATCTCCTATGCCCAGCTGCAGAAGGAGACCTAAGAGCCAGGGTTGAAGACACGGAGCCTCTCAAGACCTTCCAGAGGAGCTGTAAATGACTACGTAGAAGAGAAGAGAGGCGAGAGGCAGGCCTTCAGGAGAAGATTCCTCATGGCTCCTGGGAACTAGTGATTTCAGGATACAAGAGAAATGAAGATTTATTACTGATAATTCAGTCTCCAGCAAACAAGCTAGAGTGATTGAACTTCAAGAATTAGGAAGAAACATCATCCATCAGATGATTAGAAATCACCGCAGGGCCACAAGAAATATGGGAAAGCAAGAAAATACTTCTCCTCCAAGGGAAAAGAATTACTCCTCTTCATCCACAAGCAGTTCAATGGAAATCATGGAAATGTCTGATAAAGAATTTAGAATGTTCATAATGGTGAAGCGAGCAGAGATGGAAGAGAAGAGAGACAATGAACTGCAGAAGAGAAAGGAGAAAGAAGCTGACGAGTTCCAGGAGGTGAAGAAATTCTTGCAAGATCTAAAAGAGCAATTACATACTTTAAAGAAAGAATCAAACAGAGCTGTTAGAGATGAAGGCTATAATACAGGAAGTCAAAATCTCCCTTGAAAGTATTAAAAGCAGAATAGATCATACAGAAAATAGAATCTCAGATGTAGAAGAGAAAATTGCTGGCCTGGAAAAATCCACCACGAAGACTGAGAAAATTGCCCCCCAAAATGAGAATAATATATGAGAAATACTAGATACCATCAAATATCCAAACATCCGGATAATTGGCATCCCAGAAGGCGAAGAGACTCATAAGGGCATTGATAATCTATTCCATGAAATCCTGCAAGAAAACTTTCCAAACCTTAAGACGCACGCAAAGATCCAGTCCCAAGAAATACAAAGGACCCCAAATAGAATCAACCCAAGAAGATCTTCTCCAAGACACATTATAGCCAGGTAGACCAAAACCACAGACAAAGACAAGATACTAAGATTGGCAAGAGAAAAACATCAAGTTACCTACAGAGGATATCCCATCAGGCTAACAGCAGACCTCTCATTGGAAACAATGCAAGTGAGGAAAGAATGGGAAAATATATTCAAAGTGTTAAGAGAAAAGCAATTTCAGCCAAGAATACTGTACCCAGCAAGACTATCTTTCATGTGAGAAGAAAAGACAAGAACATTCTCAGACAGACAAAACCTGAAAGAATTTACCAGACCAGACCAGATCTCCAAGAAGTTCTCAAGGGAGTGCTATATCAGGAAAATTAAATACAGACACACAGAAATAAGAGTTCAAAAACTAAGAAAATGGCCAATTAATCATAGGGACAAGTCTGGAGTTAAATATTATACCCCAGAATTTAATTGGGAAAATCGAACCACAACAGAAGATAAAGTACATGAGACTGAATTGATGAAGTATAATTTTATGATTTTTGACTAAAACATTGCTGATTTTCTTGTAGACTTTGTTATCTGGTTGTAAGGATTTGTGTCCTGTCTTGAGAAAGGGTGGGAAAGGACAGAGGGTCAGAAATAGGGGTTAAAAAATATTAGAAACTAGAAATGGAAAATTTTTTATAATAACATGCATGGTTAAGCCACTATGCAGTATATTCTGGATGGGAAATCACATTTTGTATGCTGTGATGATGCTTAGGGAATGAATGTAAATTAAGCTAAAAAAAAAAAAAGGGTTCAGAAAAAAAAACCCCTAAAACTGTTTTTCTTGAAATTAAAAAATAGCGTTAAAAATACCTATTTGATGACTGCAGTAAGCTATATAGCCCCAGCTAGGTGCTACTTTATAGTATGTTCATTCTACTCACTGAGGTTTATGCCTAACGTATGCCTAAAGTTGAACTTGTGTTCATGGAAATGTATATATTAGCTGTGCTTGCTATGAAAAAGTTTAGATTAATTAATCTTTAGTGACTCAAAAAAATGTGGAAGAAAAAAAGTATAGAAAGCAAACAAAGATACCAGAGACAGTGTGGGAGGAGAGTGGGAGATGGCAGAGGGTAAGTAATAGGAAATCAAGGATGGGAAAAAAAGCAAAACATACAGGAAACAAGAAATGGAAAATTATTTGTTGGTAATAACATGTATGTTGATGTGCTTGATTGAGCCAATATACAGTGTACTCTGGATGGAAAATCTCACTTTGTATGTGAGATTTTTTAACGATGTAAAGTGAATGAATGTAAATAAATAAATTTAAATTAAAAAAAAAAATGACTACGTAGAAGAAAGGCCACGCCCCAGAGCCCTAACAAGGCAAGAGCTGAGGCAGCATCAGAGCCAAGCTCTAGGGTTCCTGACCAGTTTAGCCCACTTTGACCAGCAGGGTTGAGAATAAACAAGAAAACTGCAGATAGGGGGCCAGCAGATGGCATAGGGGTCAAGGATGCTGGACTCCCACATAGGCAACCACAGTTCAAGCCCTGAACTAGGCGGCTTGCTTTCTCACTTTCCTTCTCTTTCTCTTATTTGCTCTGTCCTTCTCTGGTCAAATTAAAATAAGTAAGTAAGTAAATAAATAAATAAAGTTAAATAAAATAATTTAAAAAAAAAAAAAAGAAAACTGCAGATGGGCACACAGGAACACAGGGTGGAACAGCACACAGTCAAACTAGCAGACCCTGTAAGTGATAAGAGGCCTCACATTGACTACAGAATTTGGCCTCTTGTCAAGCACAGCCAGAAACTGAACTGAGGAAGGGTTGTTTCTGAATCTTTTTTTTTTCTTTAATTTGCCAAAGGGTGAGAGTGCTTGCCAGAGAGACAGAGAGGGAGACAGAAAGTGAAAAAGCATACCCTATGGAGGGTGGTCATGCTGCAATCCCTTCTCCTCCATTCCTCCCTTCTTTTGGGATACTGGGCATGCATGCACATGTGCCCAACATGTTTTTCTGTTTTGTTTTGTCTTGTTTTTGGAGAGGTTTTTGCTATAGGGCGTGTGCGCTCACCAGAAAGACAGAGAGAGACAGAGAGACAGGAAGTGAGGGGGGATGGCCACACCACAATCCCTTCTTCTCCATTCTCCTCTCAGGATCTTGGGCACGCATGCACACACACCCAGAGTGAATTTTAAGTCACCAGGCCCAAGACTGGAACCGCAGTCAACTGTATGGAAGTCCAGTGATATAGCCATCACACTAACTGCTGGTCTCAATGTTTTTCTGTTTTTGAGGTTTCTGCCTTAGGGTACGTGCATTCGCTGGAGACACAAGACAGTGAGAGGGAAAGGGTGAAATCACTCCCCTGGGGGTGGCCACAACGCAATCCCTTCTCCTTTTTCCTCCTGATATCTTGGGCACATACATATACATACACATGCACCCAGTGTGATTTTCAAGTCAACAGGTCTGGGATTCGAACCATGGTTGGCCATATGGGAGTCCAGTAACATTGCTACTCCATCTGCTGGCCAACATGTTTTTCAAACCACTGGGTCCAGGATTCAAATTGCATAGTTGGTCATATGGGATCCCACCACCTCATTGACTGGCCTTGTTTTTGTACCTTAATGAACCTGAAAGTATAATTAAAGGCAGGAATGGCTGCCAAGGTGAGCAGCCATACTCCTGTGGCCCTTACCTGCATCTTCATGCCATCGAGGCCCAGCCTATAAGGGGAGAGAGTTCCAGGTTAGAGACAAGCTAGAGGAGGTGCCCTTCCCTGAGGCCCAAACATACAACAGCAGACTTGGCAGCAGCTCCCCACAAGGAGCACATCTAGGTCAAGGGGACCCACTCACCTTATGCAATTAAGTACAGGATTTCCCATGTGGGGCACACCAGGGTCCCTGATGACAGGAGCCACAACCTGGGGCCACATGACTCCAACATGAACTATCCACGGGCAGTGGGCTTTACTTCCCAGACCCTCCATTTCTGTGAGAAGGTAGATCTTTTCATTCAAAGTCAACCCTCATTGGCTCCCAGGACCTGAGACACAGCAACACCTTGGTGCCTCTCCACTGGGATATATCAGCTCCATGCCATGCTGCACTGGTCTAGTGTGTCTGCAGTCAGGTCTCAGCACCATATCTCACTCACCAGAGGTAATCTGGGATCCTAGAGACGTGCTCCTGGAAAGCAGGGGAAGCCGTCCCATCCACATACCAGCGCACAAGCATATTGATGGTCTTTGAGATCTGCAGGGACATAGCAGAACCATAGTCCCAGCTCACTCCTGGGCCAGGCCAGGTGCCTATGGCTCTCACGGACAAATATCTCCTGGGCACTGGCCACAGCTGTATCCCCAAGAAACAATTTGGACACAGATCGGTGCCAGTTGAGATCAGGGGCCTGAGGGGGGTTGGGGGGGGGGCCTGGCCACCCCAGTGAGGAGAGAAGCGCTTCTGGCAGGAGGGGACTTCATAAGGCCCATAACCAGAGGGCACAAGTGTGAGGGCAACAGGCATTCAGTTTGTCTCAGACATGACTCAGGGGAGAGGCCCAGGGTCTGAGGAGCTGGAAAGAGATATGCAGACAAAATGGGAAAACAGGGACACCTGCCCCCTTCTTCTAGAGGCCCCAGATCACCCACTAATCAAGACAGAACTACTACTCAAGTCAGTTTCTGACTTGAGCCTAGTGTAGTCATGCTCCATGTAGCCTTAGGTCAGAGCCATGCAAAGCTGTATCACTGCTGAGGGAAATGACATGGGTCACAGGGTCAGTACAATCTGATTTACTGACCAACACAGGGCCCAGAAAGCCCAGGCACAGTGACAGGGGTCAACAACTTCAAATATGGTGCCCACTGGCTTTATCGAGAACCTGAAGGCCAACTCACCACAGTACAATAGCTATAGCCATAGCATGGTCAGGCTGGAGGCTTATAACGACTGCTGCCAGGTATCCCCCACACACATACCCCTGCTGCCACAGCAGTCTTCTCAGTTGTTCTCTGCCTGCCCCACCTGTTCTCTACAATGCAGGCCTGACCATTGGGCACATGGGCCCCCAGCGTAGGCACCTCAAGGGCCACCAAGCATGTCCACATTTGGCCTATGCCAGACTACAGAGCCCCAGGTAGCAAGGCAGTATCAGGAGCATGAGGCCCCCACTGGCTAGGAAAGAGAAGCCAGGAATGAAACCCAAGGGTCCTGCTATTCCACACAACTTTATTTCCACTCAACTTCCTATGAGAGAAGGAAGGTGATAGGTTTTCTGGGGTGGGGGTTGGGAACAGAGCAAGGGAGAAAAAGGACTAGCTGGCCAGAAAGATCTTGGAAGGTGCATCAAAAGGCAGGTATCCAGGGTGGTCTGAAATAAAAGACAGATGGTGGAGATGGAAGGCAGCTGAGCACAGTCAGACGGCTTTGCTAAGCAAGGGATGCAAAAGATGAAGATGGGTGTCCACCAAAGTCCTAAGTTCAAAGCCCACATCTCAAATGGGGGTTCACCAAGCTTTGGGAAGACCCTCCCTCACTCCAGCTCCACAGAAAATGGCCTCGGGGTTTCTGTCCCAGTCCCTTAACCCTGAGGCTGCAGTTGGGTACTGACCGGGCCGATGCTGATGCTCTTGGTGAAGCGGTCGTCAGCTGCAATGTGCTCATACAACTTCTGTATGGCCCGCTGCCGCAGGATGGTGCTGTGGTGACGCTCGTACAAATTGAGAAGCACTGCAGGGGGCAGAGGGCATCACCAGGCACCAGATGCCACATAGAGTCTGGTCCCAGCCTGGCATGCCCTTCAGATTATGTCCAGTGACTGCAGTGAGGGAGGAGCCCCAGGCTGCAGCATTTGGGGCTCACCCTCTCTAGGCTTCCCATCTTCACTCACCCCAGGCACCACCTGCCCTACTCCTCTGCCCAGGATGGCTATTTCACACCATCATGGCCCCACCCAGTCACGACACTGTTAGGGTGGACTCCAGAAATGGAAACCAAAACCTATGGTACTCAGCACTGATGAACAGGCCTGGCACAGAGGCAGGTACAAGATGCCACTGGCTAGGTGAGTGAGTGATTGAGTGAGGGAATGGAGGAGTGAAGTTCCAGCACACGCTGCCCCAGCCCGGTAACCAGAAGCACCTACCATACATCACGCGGAGGAGCCAGCTGTGTGGTGTGTACAGGTCATCTGAGGCCACATTATTTCTCTGTGCCGGCCAGTTGATACTGTCAAAGTCATCCACATACAGCTCCTGGATGGTGGAGCAGTGCTGAAATGCTGGGGGCTGGCAACGGTGGGCATACTCCCAGGACACTGTTGCCTGGCTTGAACCAGGAGGAGCAGTCTCGAACAGCCAGCCCTTTGAGCCCTGAACTGTACTCTTCTCAGGCTAGGGGCACATCCAATAACTGACTGCTGCAGGGCACAGAGGCCCAACCCTTTCAGTCATTGCAGCAAAGACCCCAAGAGCCCCTTCTACCCAGAAGCTCACTTCTTCCTGTTTCCCAAGGGCTTGGTCTAGTCAACACAACAAACCCTAAGGAGGTCCATTCCAGGGCCTCCTTCCCAAGGACACAGCTGCAAGCATAGGTCAGGCACTGCTGAGGTTAGGGTGACATCAGCTCCCTCTGCTCCATGAATTCCCCAAGATATGCAGCAGATATAACCTTTTTCACTACACCCATGGTGGAGGCTCAAGATATGCAGCAGATACAACCTTTTTCACTACACCCATGGTGGAGGCTCTGCTCTGTCTATAGGCCCTCAGTTACAGGGCCAGGAGGAGCCCAGGGGCACAAACACGCAGGCTAGATTAAAGGGCTTCCATGGTCCAAGAGCTCACCTGGCGCAGGCTTAGGACTAGCGGGTCCTCCGAAGCGCTCAGCCGGGTGGCGTAGCAGTAGCTCATGGGCAGATACACCTGCCGGCAGTGGCACCAGAGTGTGGAGGGGTGCGCGGGTGCCCAATCAGGAAACAGCCTGCGGCGGGCAGCATGTGTCAGCACAAGCCTGCTGCAGTACAGGCACCAATACCTGGGCTGGGCTGGCATGGCCACAAGTTGTCCGTCCCCCAGCACATACCTCAGAGCTCATGACCCTTCCTAGTTCTAAACCAGCTGACAAGCACCTAAGTACTTCTCAATTACAACAAAGCTACTGTGGTAACATAAGACTCCTAACAACAGGGAGTTAGAAGAGGAGTCTATAGAATGCTCTGAACTATCTTTGCAACTTTCCTGGAAATTAAAAACTTCCAAAATTAGAGTTTATTTTTAAAAGATACTTAAAAATAGGAATGTTGAACTTCCCTAAGATTTGGGTTTTTGACCACCACCTCTGCTCACATTAGCAGAGCTATGCCAGCACCCTAGGGCAGTGTGTATTTCCCACCCTTTCCCTTTTGCCTCTGTCCTTGGACTGAGTGTCTGGGGAGGCAAGTGGAGCCAGGCATACCGCCCTGCTCCTGAGCATCTGGCATGGGCCATTCCCTCATTTCTTACCAACTCACTTTCCCGGCCTCAGGCCATTCCCTCATTTCTTACCAACTCACTTTCTCTTAATTCCGGCTTTCCTACAGCTGGAGTGGCTTGGGATCGCTGGTTTTCTCTGGATGTCTGTATTCCAACCTCTAACCCACCCCAGAGCAACTCCACAGATTAGCAGCACCCAGGACACATAGCACAGGTAAGCTGCTCTGTCACAATACCTGCCCCAGTGCCCACACCCTTCCTGTCCAACAGTCTGGCAGGCCACCCTTACAAGAGTGTGCCAGCTCCCTACATCTGTTGGATCCAGAGGCCAGCTGCAAGCTTGCCCGAGTGACCTCAGGACCTCTCCTCAACCTGGTCTCTGTATGTTCCATCTCAGGTAACAGCATCCCCCACTTATTCTCCACCCCAACTGTCTTCCCTAGCGTCACCTCATCATCCCTCTGCCTCCTGTTCATGACTACCCCAACTGGCTGCAGCCTTCATACTGGACCCTGCTGTTCTCTCCTGAGTGGTTCACCTCCTGCCTTCCTCCGCCACAGTCACTTAATGCAAGAGACCCCCTACCCTATTGAGAGCTCTCCATGGGCCCCCAGGCCTGCTCCTGTAACACTCCAAGGGGAAGCAGGGATCCACCCAGCTCTTCATGGTTCCACTGTGTGCAACAGAGGCAAACTTATATGCCAATGTGTCTTTTGTGAGGAGATATCCTAGCTTTGATGAGATTTTCACAAATGTTAAGATACTGGTTTACAGATAGCAAGAACTCAGTACTAAATTTGCTCAGCATCTAAATGGTTCAAGGTCCTGTCGGAGTTGTGTTGCAGAGCTGAAGGTACAGTGTAATGTTGGTACTTGCTTAACGCTCACAGTAAACCAGACAAGGGCAGAGATGAGCAGCTGCACACCTGGAGCTCAGGTAAGTGAGCTGCACGACTCCCCACTTCTGAGTGTCAGTCATCTTCCCAACGAAACCCCTGCTCCCTACAGGGCTACCCAAGGGGCTTCTGTAACCATCCACAATGCCCCACCTACCTGGTCCTGACCCCATGGCCTAAGCTAGCATGCCCCTGCCCAACTGGGAACCCCTTTCCATCTGTCTGCAGGACTACTTAATCAGAGCCTCTGCCAAAAGTCCAACTCTACACCACCCACAGACAACCAGCACTCACTATAGACCCATAGTCCGCTTGACTCTACTGCTGGGCAAGGCGGGGGCAGGCATACCACATCTCCGGGAACAGGGTGTTAAGGCCTTCCCAGCTGTACACATTCAGGACAGCCAGCCAGAACTTGCCCCAGGAGGGGATGCCCACAGCACCACCTGGGGAGAAAATAGGCCAGGTTTTTGCCTCCTGTCCACAGAATCAGCCTGCCTCCAGCTATGCAGCACAACTCTCTCTGATAAACTGAGAGCAGCCACTGGTCCTGCAAGCCCCAATGAGCAGGTTCCAGATAGCTCAAGATTTGCCCAAGATATCACCACACTGTCCTTAGAGTTAGTATGTCCACATCAGGAGAGGGTTGTGCAGTTACCACTCTCAGGAAAGTACACACAAAGGCAGCTAACAGGGTGGTGCAAAGACACTTCAATGCTCAGGTGAGATAAAGGTGCAAATGCACATGGTGGCCTTTGCCCACATGTGCCTGGAGAAGATTGTGAGGGGACCTGAGAGCTCAGCCTTCTCCTTCATGAGCCAAGTTTCAGCCACCCCAATCTGTGCTATCTCTATCTGGCGGACTGTCTTTGACAGACCAAGACCCCAGTGGCTCAGATACCCAAGGGCCTATGGAGTTGCCCCAGCAACACCCAGCCCCAGGCAGACCACACAACAATGCTGTCTTGGACATGTTTTATAAGAGTGCCACCAAAAAAATGCCCTCAAAGCTACTAAGTGAAATGTGACACAAACATGTCCCTCCACCAGTGGCAGGAGTACAGGAAGGAACCAGACAGAAACCTTGAGAACTCAGTATCAAGACACCAAACGCTGATGGTGAGTTAATTCTAAGAGTGAAAAACATATGAATAATGCAGGTTCTCGTGAAAATGCATGACAGGATGCCTCATCTAGCCTGGTAGGTCAGAAGAGATCCCAAAAAAAGTGACTTGGAACCATGGATCCTTCTCAGGTCTCTAATCAGCTTCAGAGCCCATAGGCCAGGGGAGAGTCAGCCAAGTCAAGGAGCACAGAACAGAGGGCAGGCTGCCTTGAGAGGACACTCCATGCACTCTCCCCCAAGTTCCCTCTTGGCGTCCAACTTTAAGTATTTGCCAATTCAAAACCAATTTTCTGGTTGTCTTAATTTGATTTTCAAAAGTGACTGGCAGGGGCTAGCCTGTTTGAATCTTGGCCCTGAAGGCTTGAGAAACACACTGGGTACACATGTGTGTGTGTCCCAAATTCCAATGTGATAAAGAAATGGAGGGAACGAGCAGTTAGCGTAATGGCTATGTCGCTAGACTCCCATGTAGTCGACCGCTGTTCACGTCCCGGACCCGGTGGCTTAAAACTCACGCCGGGCGTGTGTGCGTGCGTGCCCAAGATCCCGAGAGGAGAATGGAGGAGAAGGGATTGCGGCGTGACCATCCCCCCTGGGGGGTGATATCTCGCTTTCTGTCTCTATGTCTCTGTCTGTCTGGCAAGCGCACGTGCCCTATAGTGAAAAACCTCTCCAAAAAAAAAAAAAAAGAAAGAAATGGAGAAGAAACTATTACATGACCACACCCCAGTGGGAAGTGTTTTCTCCCTCTCCTTCTGGCAAACACATGTACCATCTAGGCAAAATAAAGAAATAAATGCTAAAAATTACAGGCAGGTTACACAATCTGCAACGGCTTCTGCTTTAGCAAATTCCCCGCTCCTGTGTTGTGCCTAGTGTTTCAAATGAAAGTACATTTTTCTGTTTATTTGCATAAATTCACAATGCCAAAGTGGCAAGAGCTTTATATCTAACACATGCTACACAGGTTATACCTTTCTTATGAAGAATGTTCCGGGCTCGTACCAGGTCAGGATCATCTGGCCCAATGCCTAGGATTCTGAGAGACACGTAGTTGAGCGCAGTCCCAAACACTGTGGACTTGTCCTCAATGTGTCTGCAGGAATAGGAGACCAATGAGAAAATAGCATCTGTCGCTACTTCTAAGACACAAAGCAATATTTCCAATAAAGCTTTCTTAGAAAAGTAAGAATACTACAATGCCTTGCCCCAACACAATATAAATGACATAGGAAATAACCCAAGCAGCCATTCTCTAGGAAGAATTCATGTACCTCCCATGAAAACTGAGCAGTTTCAGAACTGCCCTGGCAGAACCACTGCCTACTCTAAGGGTAGGCCATTGCAGGCTAGGGCCCTGCTTCCAGAGCATGGCACACTGCAGCAAAGTAGATTGCCATGGGGAGATTGCCAGGCCTACCTCTACCCGCTGCCAACCCAAAGTTAAGAGCAATTTCTTTTCTCCTCAATGATTAATATACTGAGGGATTTCACTGTGGAATATGGGTCTTAAAAGTTTCCTAACCAACCATGAATCCCATTTATGACACCAAATATGAAACTGAGACCCAGCCTGCACACAACTTCTAGCCCTTGGTTCTCCTGCCAGACTCTTCCCCACTCACGCCAGGCCAACAACTGCAGTTACCCCACAGCAGGCAGTTGCCTAGAAACCTAAGTAGCTAATAACATGCACACATGCGTGAATCTCTTACATGAGAACACATGCACACAAGCAGACATGTGCAGTCATATGGGATTGGGCATACTCACAGGCCCCAGCCACCATCAGGAAGTTGCACCGAACGCAGGTACCGCACAATCTCTTCTCTGCATCCTGCTGGCAAAGGGATGTTTGCCACATGGCATGTGATGAGGAGGCCTATGACAAGAAAGATGTTCCTCACTCGTAGCAGGTGCTTGACACTGCTAAGACTAGGGCCTTTTCCTTCTGAAGATTCCATCCCAATAGGCAGCTACCCCTAAGGGTCTCCTCCTCATGAAACCAAGCCCCAAAAGGCCATTCCTCTTGGGTCCCATCTGAGACTTGGGGAACAAAGAACAATAGTATATGTGACATTCCCACCATAAGGGCTATGGAGCCCACCCAGTCACACCTAGTTTCCATGATACTGTCTGAGTCAGAGCAATACCAAACATAGCACAGCACATCGGGGAGGCCTCCCCCCAAAATGTCCTGAAGGTCTGAGAGGGACCAGAGTTAAAGAGCAGAGACTTAGTCTTGCTTTAACACCTGCTAGTTAAAGATCAGTGGGTCCCCAATGAGCAGAGACTTAGTCTTGCTTTAACACCTGCCGGGAAAGAAACACCCATGGGTCACCCCTAGATGGAGTGATATTCACCTGGTTATTAATGTTTCTGCTTTGTAAACTTTTACAAGTATATGCCACTTAGCAAATATCAATGGGGTATGGAAACAATTCTTATCCACAAAGAATTCTGCTCCCAGCCTGGACGTCCTGATCTCAGAGCCCACAGGCTACTCTCCAGCTCCTCCTCCCACAAGCTGTGTGCCCAGGGTCTAGCATATGACATGTCTCAGGGCAGACCCTGGCCATACATGCCATGACAGAGATGACTAACTCTGGCTCAAGGGTATCAGAAGCCTTGAGGAACACACTACATGCAGATATGTCCTAGAAGAGGCCAGATGAACTCAGAGATGCTACATAAGTTCACAGAAAACAAGTCCATCTTCTGTCACAACAGTTATGATGTTAGACAGGGAACGTGTGCAGGGAGGAGCAGAGCCAGCATTTCTCCCATTTTACAGGTGAGAAAACAGAAAGAGCTGTTGGTGGGCTGGGATTAGAGCCCAGGGTATGAGATACCAGTCAATGCTCCCTAAAGTGTCATTCAATGCCACATGGGCCACTCTTGATGAGAAGCTGTCTACACAGGATTGTGACCTCCAGGAGCACTTTCTAAGTTAAAGCAGGAAGAAAAAAGACCAAATTTATACAGTTTGTGGACTGACACTGGCACAGCATTTCAGAACAGGCCAGCCAACCCAAAAAAAGAGTCTGTCTTGAACTCACCAAAAGGTCAGGAAAAGCTCTAACTGCCCAGGGGAGAGGTCCAGCAGGCTGAGCCCAGAGCCAAAGCAGCAAGCACAAAGCAAAAGCCATCCACAATGCCCAAGCACCAACACATGCCTGGCACTGTGCATGTGTGATCAAACCTGATTCTAATCATCTCCAGTCAATGATGAGACAGCTGAGGCAAATGTAGTTATGCCTTATCAGTAACCAACTCTATGCCACTGCCTTGCTGTGAAGAATCCCTAGACTTGTCTCAAAGGATGGGTCATCAGGTCCCAGAATGGAGAGATGTGATGCTGTATGGCCTAGTGGCAGCAGGGCTTGGAGTCAAAGCAGAGATGGTACTGATAGTGTGGGTGTGCTTCTTCAACTCTTGTGATCCGGAGCAAACGTGCTTCAAGTGCTCATGGATCGGGCCCATGCTTAAGACCAACAAAGGAACAAGCCCAGCACAGGGCTTAGCCCAAAGTAAACACCACATTAGTATTTCTAAAATTAAAGGTCAGCCCTTTCCAAACTAACTTACAGGCATGAAGCAACTCTCTCAAAGTTCTACAGGTGTGGGGTACAATAGTCAACAAATTTGGATAAGCAAATGGGTAGATACAGCTAAAAATTATTTTATTAAGAAAGGCAATGAAGAGCTATAAGGATTTTAAATCTACTACAACGTTACAATTATTAACATGGTGGGGCAAAAAAAACTACACTTATCAATAAGAATTATCACAGAAACAAACCCTTATTTATATAAGAATTCAGGTCACTGAAACAGTGCAACTGCAAGTCCCCAAATCTGAAGATCTCCCACCATCTTCTCACACATACACATACACATTCCTTCCGGCTGAGCTAGCAGCAGACATCACAGCACCAACATAGTGCTCATGGCGAATGTGAGTTCTATTCCCATCTCTCCACCTGTCTTGGCACCTTGGCATGGGCTGGGCCCTCCATCTGGAGTGGCTATTCTACTTTGCACTGAGAACAGAGTCCATCCTCCCCTCCCCTGCCTCCCACTGAGAGACCCCAGAGAAGCCTCATTAGAGTGACAAGCACTCTAACCTGGGCAGAACCAGCTGTGCCCTCACTCCTGCCCCTCAACACCAAACACAGGACAACCCTCCCCGTGACCTGTTTCACCAAGAGCCTAGACCTGGCTGGGCCAAGACCCCAAGGATGACCCAGGGTGGTCTTGCCCTCAACTGAGGCAGCATGCTCCTACCTGGCAGAAGAAAGAGCGGGCCACCATAATCACCCGGCCAATGCCCGTCCTCGGCCTGCAGCCCAACATAAAATGTAGTCCCATTCAAAGCCCCTTCATGGGCAGTGTGTGCTTTGGACAAGTCCTTAAAGTAATTCCTCTGCAAAAGAGAAAAGTGATGAGAGTATAATGATACTGCTGCTTGGCTGGAGGAGCCCTCTCATTCACAACCGACAAGTCAACACAGCAAACCTGGATTACTTTACAGGTAGGCATGACAAAGTGACAGCTCAACCAATAAAACGACAGTTCCCCCTGCCCATGGTTTGACTTTGTAGTCATGTACATATTTGCAAACTTCTTCACAACTTCTCCACGATGTCTTAAATAAATCAAGCACTCAGTATGTGGTGAGACTGATGGCCAGTTGGGTCTGGAATTCAGGCCTCAGAAAGGGCCCTAGGGACTGCATTACAGCTGCTCAGAGAGGGGCTGGGCAGGTAACCAGTGGCCAGGGCTTGACTGGAGAGCCCATGTGAGGTTGCACACCTCTGACCACCTGACTTTCTTACACGAGTGCACACAATCAAAACGCTGGGTCAAAAGCTTTGTTTTGTGAATAAAAACAAAATCATAAGTACCTTTGCAACTTTTCTGCAAATCTCATTAAAAGCAAGAGAAAACTAGAATCGTTTCCTATGTGTAGCTTAGTGATAAAGGAATGAGGTCCAGGGCTAGCACTCAGTCACATTTCAACTCAATACTTGGGAGAACCAACTTGTTTGGTTCTTGGTTGTTGTAACCGGCCACTGTCACACATAGCCTTCTCAAGAAAAAAATGCTGTCTAAATAAATAAATAAAGATAAATAAAATAATGCTTTAAAAAAAAAGAAAGAAAAAAGGCCGTCTACAACTGGCGTCCCAAGGCACCTTGCTGCTCCCGGCGCCCCTGGCTAAGGCGTTGGGGTGCGGGCACTTCCCGCGAGCACTTACAGTGTCCAGACCCAGAGAATGGGCCTCCAGGCCAGTCTGTTCGCGGCCAGGGTCCTCCCCTGGCTCAAAGTACGTCCACGTCTGCCTCCCCAGCTTGTTGCTAAGCCTCCAGCGGCTGAGATCCGTGGCGGGCTCCGTTTTGTATGGTCCCCCTCTCCGACGCAGACACCTATAACGCCACGCCATAGTAACCGTGCTGTCCGGGACCCGCCCGCTGCCACCGCGCCCCTCCCTCCCCCCGGGCACCCACGACCACCCGCGCGCCGTCCGGGCTCGCGCCTGAGCACAGGAACTCACGTGCCCTCCGTCATGACGGCGCCTTGCTCCCGTCTAATCACCCTCGGCAAACTCCTCACTCGGCCGGTAGTCGGACCCGCGGTTTCCCACCACCTGCCTAATCTCTGTCCTCCCGGCCCCGCCCCAGCTGCACGGACGCGCGCCTCAGCAGACGCGAGAGCGGGATGAGCCGATGTCCGCGGAGCCAATCAGAACGCCGCGACCGTACTCCCGGCTCCCGCAGTGGCGAACGCGAGACGCCCCAGGGGCGGGACGGTGCCAGGTTGTTGTGAGGACAGTGGGCGAGGCCGACGCGGGGGGCGAGGCCTGAGCGCCGGGCGGGCCCGCCAGTCACCTCGGCATCCCGGTTGCGCGCTACACCTTGAGGCTGGGCGGACTGAGAGGACTTTGAGGAAGGGTCTCGCCAGAGGCCAGAAAGAAGAGGGGCTCTAGGGAGAAGGCCGGGGCAGTGGCTGGAGGCAAGCAGGGGAGAGCTTACGCGCCAGAGCCGCGCGGAGGACGGGCTGAGGTGAGTGAGGCCAGAGCCCTGGCGGTGGTCGCCCAAGCTACCGTGAGGGGAAGGACGAGCTCCCGGGGTTGGAGAGCGGGCATCACAGGGCTGCTTCCCCAGCAAGGGCCGAGCGTGGGACACTCGACTCTTCGTGGGACCCTGGAGCTTTCGAACCGCAGAAGTTAAAAGTGAAAGGTCCTGGTTTCAGAGGAAGATGGGAGCGGCGCATTGAAGGGGGGTCGAGAGCATCTGACTGGAAGTGCTTCCAGGGGCTGCAGCCAGGGTCGCAGAGGCAGGTCTCAAGAACACACAGCCTGCGCCAACTTGTCTGCATCGGTCCCGCTGAAACCCTAACATTCTTACAACTGCCCTGGCCTTCGAGTGTTTCTGCACCCAGCCCTTCAGTCCTACCGCCCTCCCCACACTTAACCTTGAATGGGCCGTGGCCAAACAGCGCCAAAGGGAAAAGCTGAGGGGTGAGGAACAAAGGAAAACTTCTTCCTCTAATAGAATATTGGGGTTTTAGATGGCCAGTCAAGGAAACTGACCTCTTCCTATCCCAGTTCAGAAATAAATGAAGATACAACAGTAGGACAGGTGGATATCAAAATATCAGCCTTTGCTACATATAAAAAGTTAGCTTGAAAGACAAGTTTTAAATCCGCAAGCACGTGGACTTGATATACTGCTCAACCCCTAAATCAGATAAACATATCTTCCAGCCTCTGGCCCTGCTAAGGAACTACAGCTTCTAGACCATGGAGCTGCCTCACCAAGGACTATGCACCCCAGTACCAATAAGATGCCCTATCAAGCCAGACCCCAAAGAGTACTCCAAGGTGACCAAGCACATTTGATCTTGTCTGTTCTTTCTTTCCTTGAAGAAGAGTCTGGAATCTTTTTTCCAAGGAAGTCCATGTAACCATTACAAAGAATGGGAATAAGGGGCTCCAGCCTATATAGAATTTCAGATTCTGAGTCTCGCAAAGCTAAGTGAGAGAAGTTTCAATTGAAGAAGAATTTGAATTTTGAGTTTTTCTTAGTTTTTTTTTTTAGTTTTTACTATAGGGTGCACGAGCTCACCAGAGAGAGGGATTGTGAGAAATTACCCCCAAGAGGGGACGGCCACTCCACAATCCCTTTCTTCCATTCTCCTCTTGGAATTTTGGGTACTTACATACACGTGCCTTGTTTTTCAGGCTACAAGGTCTGGGACTCAGACCACTGAGTCCAGCCAGGTAGAATCCAGCCACCTTAACCACCATGCCACTGGCTAGCCCTACAGCAATTATTAACTACAGAAAAATTTGAAAATTGTACCTAAAAGACATATAATCAAACCAATATGGGACTCAACAGTAAACATATAATCATACTTAACTCTGAATGCAAGTTTCAGCCAACATTAAACTGTTTAGGAATAATAGAAAAAATTTTGGCATATATATGTGGGTGATAGACATTGCAAGGAAAATAGTGTAAGAGTCTCTTTTTCCACTGTAGAAAGTCAATAATGTCTAATATCAAGATTAAGAAATAACATTGGCTCGCCACAGTGGCATGCATAGGTAGAGTAGTTGGTGCTACTCCAGAGGCTAAAGTCACATGAGATACTTGGGTTTAATTCCAGCCCAACCTGAAAAAATAAAAGTATTATCGGAATCTTTATGGATAAACATAAAGTTAATTACTGAAGAAATCTCTAAAAGAGTATTTTTTTTGGGGGGAGGGGTTGTGTGTGTGTGTTTTTTAAGGTTTTTGCCATAGGGCATATGGGCTGGATAGGGAGAGAGAAAGAGAGGGGAGAGAGAGGGAAAGTGAGAAATCACCTCCTGGGGAAATGGCCATGCCTGCAATCCTTTCTCTAGTCTCTTGGGATTTAGGCAGGCACATATGCTCACATGCCTGGTGTGAGACTTAAGCCAAGGTTAGCCATATGGGAGTCCAGCATCTCAACTACCACACCACCTGCTGGTCCCAGTGTTTGTTTTGGAGAAGCAAGGATTAGCTGGTGGATTTGGTAGTGGTGGTAGTGGTGGTGGTAGTAGCATGAGGAAGTTCTCTTGGTGCTTTTTGCTCAGTGAAATAAGATGCAAAGTCATTACCTAAGAACATTGGAGCTTTGAAGAGATTAAGAAGAAATTTATTAATTAGTCTCTTTGGAGAGTCTGCAGGGATGTGAGATTATACTTGGGAGATGCTGAGTACCAGTTTGAGACTGGTGGTCATACTCAGCATTGCCAAATCTCTATGTTTGGCTCAAATTGATCTTTCTCCACACTAAATTCTTTTTTTTAAAGAATTATTTAAATAGCAAACTCAGACTTATATCCTTCCTATTTCACTTGGGCAGCTGCAGCACTCGACTCTCAAGATCCCTGCCTTGGGGCCAGCAGGTGGCGTGTTGGTTAAGGGTGCTGGATTCCCACATGGCTGACCATGTTTCAAGTCCTGGACCTGGTAGCTAGCTTGCTTTCTCGCTTTCCCTCTCTCCTTTCTTACTCTGTCCATCTCTGTTCAAATTGAAATAAATAAAATTTAAAAATTAAAAAAAAAGATTCCTGCCTCATTTTGCTGACCTCTTCCACATGCCATTTTTAAAAGAAAATGTTGGGGGCCAGGAGGTGGCATGGTGGTTAAGGTGCTAGACTCCTACATAACTAACCATCATTTGAGTCCTGGACCTGTCAGCCTGTTTTCTCTGTCTCTCTCTGGTGAGCATGTGTCCCCTGTAGCAAATTTAAAATAATAGTAATAATGATAAATAAAATTTAAATAATCCTTTAAAAAAAAAAAAAAAGGAAATGTGATCAGGTCACTTCTCTGCCTAATCTCTTCCAATTAGTTCCCTGAGCACTCAAAATAAGGCAACAAGGATCTCTGTGGCTTGATCTTACTGGCCTTTCCCCCTTACTTGGCCACACAACCAAATTGGTGCCTCACGACTTTCATCATACCATCTTGAGTATCCCCATGCTGCACCCCTCTATCCCCAGCTGCACCCCTCTCCAGAGATCTGCTGTTTCCTCCATCCAACCCCTCCCAGCCCACCATCTCTCCTTGCCTTCAATCCAAGCACATGATTCTGTGTGTGTACATCCTTAGAAACCTTAGACACATATACATCTACTGGCCCTCTCAGATGTAAGCTGAGTGGGCCTGGCAGGCAGGAGTCTTATGCCTTATTCATCTCTGCATCACTAATGTCTGACACATCAGGGATTGCTACTTTGCTGAATAAATCACCTGTTACATATAAGCCATAGAGTCTCTCAGAACATATGCTGGTGGGTGACAGTCTGCAAAGATCATAAAAATAAGAATATCTAAGGTATCACATAGTAGGAAATAGCTTTTCATTCTGAAAACTGGGAAAGACTTCATTAGACATCCAGATAGTTTATTTGCATGATTAATAATCACATTCCCAACAGTGCATCAAGCAACTGAGAATAACATTATTTTGAGTAAAAGAAGAAACTCTGGGGAAGATCTCCCTCCCTTAAGGTCAGGCTGCTCAAATGTCCACCATGTCCAGCAATGCAGAGAGATGGAGCTCAGAGGCAACTTCCTCTTCCCTTGAACTCCGGATCAGCCTTTCTAGGTGCTTCAGCCGTTCTGTCAGAGATGTGCCTGTCACCTCTGACATCGGCAGTTGTTCCCCCGTCCTTTCATTCTATTTGAACAGAAAACAAAAATAATTTTGGAATACCAGGGTCTATTCTCAGTGAAGGCACCAGATCTCTCTTATGTTAGAAAACTCATCTGGAACCTATGAAGCTTAACAGACTGCCTCTGAGCATCCATTAGACCGATGGATGCTAGCCTCTTCTAGCACATAAATATCATCAGTACAAAAACATTCTTTTTCTATCATAATTCTATTATTATTCTATCATAAACAATTTCCAGTATTAGTCATTTTTATAAAATGTCATCATCAAGGGCTGTGAATTATTCTGTCATATAAATGTATGCTAATTGCTGAACTAGACACCCAATTTTTCTGCAGTATAATCAATGCTACACTTTTTACATGTTCATTTTTGTCAATATTGAGTAATTTCTTTAGGGCACAGTTGGCAAATCAAGGGTTTGAATATTTCTAAGTAAACAGTATATCATTTTAATTTGCCCTACTTCTCTGAGGGGCTTCCTAAAACCAGTCCAAAAATGCATACCTATCTAGCAATAATTAAAACTCTGTTTTCCCTTTTTTAACCACTGACGGAAAGATTTGAGGTAGAAAGATGTTGGGCTCTGGAGTCAATCAATATGGATTTGAAAAGCAACTGTACCATTGACCAGCTCCACACTTTTGGGTGAAGTTCTTGATTTCTGTGAGCCTAGCCTCGTTACTCATTAATTTTTCTCAGGGAAAGTAAATCCCAGAAGGGAGAGCTGGATGATGCCAAAGCTTGGACAGTATGTGCACCACAACAGAAGCTGCCGTCATCACTTTTATGCTCCAGTGCCCTTATTTAACCTCAGCACAGTTACAGGTTTTATTCAGTTCTCTGGCATGTTTCAATTCCATTCTTTCACAAACAAAAACTCAAAATGGGTCTCATAAATACATACCTATCTAGTATAAGAAAAAAATCTAATTTAAGCTAATAATTTACTGATCATCATAATGACATATGAATGGAGACATTAATTTGTTTCTCAGACATTCTCTATCTTTAAATCTTTTCTTTTTTTAAGGTTTTTGCCACAGGGCATGTGTGCTTGGCAGAGAGACAGTAAGAAAGAAAGTGAGAAATCATCCCTGGGGGTGGGGATTGCCATGCTGCAATCCTTTCTCCATTCTCCTCCTGGGACTTTGAACATACATACATACATACACACACACACACACACACACACACACACACACACGGAGCATGATTATCAAGCCAATAGGTCTGGGATTCGAACCATGATCAGCCATATGAGAGTCTAGCACCTTACATACCAAACCACCTGCTGGCCCTCTCTGTCTTTAATTTCCACTGTAAGTGCCAAATGTACTATCTTCTCACCTGTGGGCTAGAAGTTGTAGATGTTTTAATCATGGGTTCCATAGCCTGAGGAAGAGACACCAGAGTCTGAGGAAGGTAAAGGGGAAGGGAAGTTGAATCTGTAATTGCTCTTGAGTCCTCAGATAACCACTGCTGAAGTTGTTCTTCAAACCTAAAATAATATGATCACAAATTCAGAAAAGTTTGAACATGAAAAGCAAAAAGTTGGGCTGGCTCCATGGCATAGCAGTAATGCACTACACAAAAAAAGCCAGATCCCACATGGTGACCACAGTACAAATTCCGGGCCTGGTCAGCCTGAAGCAGCCAGTGTGACACATGCATGAGTGCCTGAAGGGGATTGTGATATGAGCAGGCTTTGTGGGGATGCTCCTCTTTCTCTCACATGTGCATGTACTTACTCTTATCATGAATAAAGAAAAATAAATTTTAAACACCAAAAAGTTAACTATCATTCACTTTTCCTCTATATATACTTTCCTTTTTTAAAAAAAAATTTCTTGTTATAGGGCATGTGCATTTGCCAAAGACAGACAGAGAGGGGAAGTAAGAAATCACCCCCAGGGGGATGACCATGCCACAGTTCCTTCTCCTCGATTCTCCTCTTGGGATTTTGGGCAGTGCCCATTGTGTTTTTCAAGTCACTGGGTTCAGGACTTTAACTGTGCAAGGTCACGTAGGACCCAGCTGTCTTAACCACCACACCACCTGCTGGCTTGATACTTTAAAAATTTTAAAACCTTTGCTTTTTACTAAGGGTTGAACTAAGCTATGCCATCAACTGAGAAGCAGAATATATGTTTTAATTAAATATCCTCTATCATTAAAAATTTAGTTATATTTAATGACAAAATTTGCATTAATCCAAACACAACTACCTCTATGTGCTACTTAACATTACTTGCAATTCTTTCATTTGGCTGTTTATCTTCTGTCTTTGATTTATTTTAGCCTTATACATCTACAATGAATTATCTTGGATTATCCAACTATATGGATTGCTACTTATAATTTAAAAATAACTCAAAATAATATTGCACTGCCATCAAGTACATGTCTGTTTTCAAGAAAATAGTCTCATCTAAAACCACTTAAATTATACAGGCAAGTCTACTTTTAGAAATCACGACATGTTGGGACCAGCAATTAGTGTAATGGCTGTCACTGAATTCCCATGTAACTGACCACAATGAGAGTCCCAGACCTGGTGGCTTAAACTTACACCAGGCACATGTGCATGCGTGCCCAAGATCCTGAGAGAATGGAGGAGAAGGGATTGTAGCATGGCCATCCCCCTAGGGGGTGATTTCTCGCTTTCTACCTCTCTGTCTCTGTCTTTCTGGTGAGCACACATGCCCTATAGCAAAAAACTCTCAAAAAAAAAAAAAAAAGAAATCATGACACATTCATTCTCTTTTCCAACACATTTATCAAACCCCCACCAAATGCTAGGTAGGAACATAGCACTGAAATAAAACAGAGAAGGCCCAGCTCTAAGAGGCTTATACTCTAGTGGAGGGAGACAAACAAGAAACACTTAAGGGAAACATAGTTTGACATTGAGAAAGATTATAAGCAGAACCACAGAAACAGAGTGGACAGAGGGACCAGCAGGGATGGTATGACTAAACAGATATTTGAGCAGAGATCTGAAACGAGTGCGAAGTTATCTATGGGGATGTTGGGCAGGATGGAGTGGTTAAGGAGTCCTAGGCAAAAGGAATAGCAAACTCAAAGGGAACAGCAAAAAGGCTGGCTGTGAGCTCCCTAATGTGTTCGAGGAAGGAGCAGAGATTGAAGAGGAAATGGGAGATCATACAGACTACCTTCATGAAAAGTTTGCCTTTGATTCTGGGTAAAAGAAGTTACTGGAAGACTGTGAACAAGTTTCAAACAGGGACTGGGACTGCCATGACTAGATTATAGCCTACTGCAATAATCCAGAGGACAAATGGTGGTGTCTTAAATTAGCTGGCAGCCAAGGAGGTCATAACAAATGATCCAATTCTGAATGTGTTTTCAACAGCCAAAAGGGTTTGTGGATGGGAACAATTCTGAGGCATTCAGCCTGGGTATCTGGAAGGATAGAGCTACCACCAACTGAGAAGAACACCAAAGGAAGGCCTGGTTAGGGGAATATAGAGAATTGGATCTAGGATCTGTTAACTTTGCAATGGCCATTAGACATCAAATAGATATAAAGATTTCAAGGAAGGGATAAGATGATATCTAAGTATGGAGTTCAGGAACTCAGGGTTTGAGATAAAAATCTGAGTGGTCAAAATATGGATGATATTTAAAAATCCATGAAACTGAATGAACTCACTGGGAAATGTGAGCAATAGCCAGTCTCCCTCTCCCAGCATGAAGTGGGCTAATAACACACATTAATTGGAAGGCAGCAGGCTTCACCTTTTGTTGTCCTCTTTCTCCAGCAGCAGACTGCTTGACAGACACTGAGCCAGGAGCTCCTCAGCAGATGCTCCTCGCATCAGGTCTTCTGCATTGGGAATCCTCCCCTCTCGGCCATGCTCCATGCTCCTCTTCCCTTTACGATGCCCGTGAAGCAATGGTGTGGGAAAATTGTTTGCAGAAGGATGAGACGACTTTATCCCCAAACTGTAATTACATGTTTTCAAATGCTTATGGTTAGGAAAGAGAGGGAACCTCATGTGAAGGATGTGGACACAGAACTGCATGTGTTCACACATAACTCAGACCTGCATGCCCACCTGGGATGCCAAGCCACTGCCTGTTTCTGAGCTTCCCACAAGTCAAGGAATGGGGCACAGAGGGGAGGTAGCCTCTGTACTTTGCAGTGACTTTCACACATAATCTGTTTTCCCAGAAGCTTAAACTTAAGAAGTATCTCCTCTCTCGGGGCTTCTCAACTTGATGTCTTGCTTCTCATCCCAGTGTTATAAAAAGATTCTCTGTTTTCCTCTAATAGTGGCAAGATCCTTATTTTTTAACATTTAGCTCTAGACTCCATCTGAAAGTAATACTGGGTCATCGGAAAAGTCATGACACATTTTTGCACATGACTTTTCCGATGACCCAATATTTGCAAATGGTAGGAGAGAGGGGATCTGATGTATTCTTGTAACCAGATGCCAATGTCTATTCTTTCCTCACTAATGTCACTACTTTGGCATGGCACTTTTTTCTCTTTTTCTTTTTTTTGGAGAGGTTTTTGCTATAGGGCGCGTGCACTCGCCAGACAGACAGAGAGAGACAGAGAGACAGAAAGCGAGAAATCACCCCCCGGGGGGATGGCCACACCGCAATCCCTTCTCCTCCATTCTCCTCTCGGGATCTTGGGCACGCACGCACACACACCTGGCTTGAGTTTTAAGCTACCGGGTCCAGGACTCGAACCACAGTTAACTACGTGGGAGTCCAGCGACATAGCCATTACGCTAACTGCTGGTCCCCGTTATGGCACTTTTTTCTCATATAAATCTGTCTCTGGACTGTCTGTTTTGACCCACTTATCAATTCCTGCATCACCCTGTAAGTTTATTACTATAAGTTTACTATATGTTTTGATACCAGGTCAGCAGAATTTTCTTGTTATTCAAAATTTTAGCAACTGTACACATTTTCTCATTCTGAAGAAGTTTAGAAATATGGTGTCAAGGGGCTGGCAGATGCTATGTTGGACTGGACTCCCACATGGCTGACCACTATTTGAGTTCTAGACCTGGTAGCTTGCTTTCTCATTTTCCATCTTTCTCTCTGTCTTATCAAACTGGAAAATAATAATAAATAAAGTTAAATAACATAATTCTTTTTAAAAAACAATAAGTTGTCAAGTCCATGGCATGGTGGTTAAGATGGCTAGATCCCACAAAGCCTACTGCCTGCCCAATTCATGTCCCAGACCTTGCTATGAAACATGCCAGACATGTATGCATGCATACCCAGAATCCTCAAAGGAGGTAGAAATGGAGAAGGGATTGGGGTGTGAACATTTTCCATGGGGGATGCTTTCTTACTTTCCCTCCCTTTCTTTCCCTCCCTCTCTCCAGCAAGCACACATGCCCTCTGGCAAAAATTTTTAAAAAAACAATAAAAATTAAAAATCGTCAATACCAGAGGAAAAATATCCCTCTGGTTTCTCATTAGAAATGCTTAGACTTGGAAGCCAGCAGGTGGCATGGTGGTTAAGGGCACTGAACTCCCACACGGCCGACCATGGTTTAAGTCCTGGACCTGGTGGCTTGCTTTCTCACTTTCCCTTTCTCTCTCTCTCCCCAACACTCTGTCCCTCTCTGCTCAAATTAAAAGAAAGAAAGAAAGTTAAATAATTATTTTTAAAAAATTTAAAAGAAAAAATGTTCTGACTTTATAACTTGAGGAAGTGACATGTTTATGCCATTGTGTCCTTTTGTCAACAAAGCTAGGCTGTACCACATTACTCAGGCTTGTTCATTAAATTGGGTTTCCACTATAGATTCCGAGCACTGAGAGCTCCCCTGACAGGGCCTTAACATATTCCCTTATTCCCTGTCAGTTTATGCCCATATGTTACGGACTTTATAACTTGAGGAAGTGACATGTTTATGCCATTGTGTCCTTTTGTCAACAAAGCTAGGCTGTACCACATTACTCAGGCTTGTTCATTAAATTGGGTTTCCACTATAGATTCCGAGCACTGAGTGCTCCCCTGACAGGGCCTTAACATATTCCCTGTCAGTTTATGCCCATATGTTACGAGTTTTTTGCTGTTATAAATGGAAATTTATTATATGTTGAACATACACCTATCAGATTACCTTGCTGAACTCAGTAGTTCTAAAGGCTGTTGATTATCTTACACTGACAACTGCATTGTCTAGAAATGGCAATTCCCCCTTTCTTATACTATTTCTGTCCTTCTATCCCATGCCCCCGTATTAGGCAGGATTTGTGGAACACCAGTGAACAGTAGTGGCAACAGGGGTGGCACAGCCTGGTTCTGACTTTAGTGCTTCTAATATTTTCCAAGAAGCATGACTTTTTTTTTTCCTTTGGCAACTTTATAGTAAGGAGCAATATCAAGTTAGGAATTAGGAATTTTTTTAACCAAGTTTAATAAATCTTACCAGAAATGGGTATAAATTTTAAGAAATATATTTCTTTATTTTTAATTTGCCAGAGGGCACATGAGCTCACTAGGGAGAGATCAATAAAGAAGTAGAGGAGAAAGCATCCCTTCTGGGGCATAATCATGCTGCAATCCTTTCTCCTCCATTTCTTTATCCTTTGGGGTTTGGGGCATGCATACACGTTACCCCACACATCTGTCAAGCCACTGGGGCCAGGATTTGAAATACGTGGTTGGCCATGTGGAATCCAGCTCCCTTAACTACTAGGCCATCAGGCCAGCCCAAGAAATGCACTATAACACCAACTGAAATGATAATTTATTCTTCTACCATGGCACAAACTATACTAATAGATTTTTATATTGACGTGGTTTATCCTAGGAGAAAGCCTATTTTTGAGTATTTTTAGGAGCTGCAGAACTGTATAAGCTAGCATTTTACTTGTTTTTTTTGTTTGTTTGTTTGTTTTTATCTAAGTTTATAAGTAAGATGAGATACCAGATTTTGTTTTTATTGAAATCCTAGTCAGGTGATTTCAGGTCAGGTTATTCTGATAAATGAAGTAAGATATGTGTAACTATCTCTGCTCTGAAACAGTATCTCCTATATAGGATGACCTGTTCCATGAGAGCCTGTCAGAATCCACCCACTGTAGATTCAATATATAGGTGTACTTTGGAAGAAAATGGTAAGGTTTAGCACAGTGACAGAACACAATAAACATGGATCTCACCGTCCCTGACTCAGCTGTAGTTCCTTCTGTGTCTGCAATCTGGCTTGTTCCCACGATAAAGGAATATCATATTTTGACAAATCGTTTTTAAAAAAATATACACATACTTGACCATCTTCACTCAGTGCCTCTGAAAAAATAAAACAAACAGATAAGAACAGCAGCAAAAGAGTAACAGGTGACCACTTGACATTTGCTTAAATTCACTAATTTAAGGATAAGCCCTTCTGATTAATTAAAAGTCATACAATTACATGACTTTCATACATGAGTCAAATATGCTCCAAATGTTCATGTTCAAGGTCCAGAATGACTTAAGTTTAGATTTTGTCAGGCTCAATAATGACTACTCAGAGCCATACAATCCTCTCTGACCTAAAAGTAAGCCTAGAGGGCCTATTTTGATGAGGTGAGTCCAGACCCCCCGGGAACATTCTTAACTCTTCCCAATGTGTATAAGTCACGTGGAGGTTATTGATTTGAAGAAGAAAGTCCTAGGGAAAGGAAGGGTGGGGACCAAAGGGGAAAGAAGCAACATTAAGTATACATCTTTATTAAAATGAGACCAGGAAAATCTCCTAAGGAGCTGGCCTCACAGTGTTGAGTTCTAACCACCTACCTGTTGTGACAGGAAGCCTGGGCGGTGTCCAGTCCCTTAGCTTATGGTTGATACACAAGGCAATGATATCATCCCATGGGATCTCAGTAACTGCAGGTCCTACCCCCTGGTCAGGGGAGGGGCTCTTGCTCTTCCACCTGCGGAATGTCCTGCGGAGCAGATTCTCCACTTGGGACTGGAGGACAGGTTGTGTCTGCCGTGAGCTAGGGATCTGAGAGGCATACTGGACGACCATGGAGCACACAGGGAGCCAGGGGGCTGGAGAGAAAGTGCCTCCTTAGTTATAGGTCTGGCCAAAATACAGATGAAAATTTACATGAAAATATTCTTAATGCTCTATTTTGTTAGGAAAAGGCAACTGTGTGGTTGGAAAGTCTGCCTTTAAATATGACCACAGCAGAACCAGAGCTGTTAAGGGAAAGATCAGCTCATTTCCAGGGTCCAGGTGAGAGATGTGAACTGTCACCCTGGACAGTGTTCACAATAAAGGTTCACCCAGGAGCTCTGACTGCACAGGTCTAGGAATCAATGCTTTCTTTGGTCATGCCTGAGAATCTATACTTTGACAAGTATCCATTTGAGTCTGGAATAGAGGTCTTGGATTCCCTTTGGGAGCCCCAACCTACTGAGGGTAAAGAGGGCTTACACTGAGTGCTTCACTTTTCAAATTTCTTTAATAATGGGAATCAATTAGACCTACTAAAGACTACCTACAACAATACAGAAGGGTACCCAAGTCCAAAGGAGAATTTCCTTGCTAAGGCCATGAGCTCTTACAGCTAAGCAGCCAACAGATTTATTCCCTCCTAACAATATTTACATGGGAAGGAATGACCCACACCACACTGGCTTTGAGTTAGCTCAGGAGACCTAAACAGCAAAAAGGTCTCACTCAGGCACAATGGGCACAGCCAGAACCACAAAACACAGTATGCTTTGACAAAGAAGGAACACTGGCATTAAATAAGAGATGGTGGTTCTAATACAGGGCCACATAGTCCCATGTTCTTTGCCCTAGCCTGTCTGTTCTGATAACAGGGTATCTGTGAGACATGCAGAACAGGCTTCAGGGTTGGTGCTCCTCCCAGCACCACTCTTCACCTTCCTCCAGGGACTTAGTAGATACCCATGGACTGCTTTCCTGGTGAGAAAAGGTCAACAGCCCTTCTCCACAATACCCCAGCTCTTTTTGGCTCCTGAACTCAAGGGCAGGTGAAGGAGGCACAACCCAGAGGCAAGCAAATGCTCAGGAGATATCGATATGCTAACCTCACATTAGTGCCTGACACCTGCTAGACTAACATTACTGTGAGAAGGAAACAGATTGCTTAGCTACAGCCACCCTCTACCCTACCTCAGAATGAGCACGTACCCCCTGGGGGTGGAAGGTCCATCTGTGGAAGCTGGAACCCAAGCACAGCCTGCTTCAGCCAGGCCAGATGCTCTGGGGCATTCCAGTGTAGGTGAGGAAGCACCTGGCTGCCCCCTGCCTCAGCAAACTCAGTGACAGGCCAGGACAGGTCACACAGCTGCTCAGAGGACACCACAGAGGCCAGGAACTGCAGCACACTGTTGAACAGTTCAATGATGGCACCTGGTTCTTGTGAGGTCAAGCCACCCAGACGCCTCTCTCTTCTGTCATGGAAAAACCGGCCACTGAATTCACGGCTAACCCCATCTTCAATGTACTGAATAAGGGTCTGGCAGCAAAGGTCAAGAGTGTGGGGACAGCGAGAGACCAGCCACCGCACTGCCTGTGAAACCTAAAAAGCAAAGACAGTCAGGAGAGACCTGGTTAAACAATTCATGCTATTTTCCAAAAGCTGCTTTTTGAGGAGGCTTGATGCTCTTCCCAGGGTCAAAATAGCTGCCCCCAGCAGATTCCACTAGATCACTATGATCTCAACTGTGCTAGGAAGAGAAGAGAACCTTCCTCTGTGGTTGAATTTGGCCTTCTAGGGTCCTAGAAACATACTAACAGGGGTACCGAAGAGGGATCCTCTCGAGTCTCATCCAGCCTCAAGGAGTACAGCCTACAGGCTCGCCCCTCTGGAAGGACCTCAGTCCTCAGGAAACGAGTCCTGTACACTTTGTTCACCGTGCACAGAATGGAAGCCACATCTTGTTCTTAGAAGGACTAACTGCTTCACTTTGTGCCAGAATGTCTTAATACTCATAGTTATCTTTCTTACATAGTTACTTTTATTTTAATTCATTCCTGGCATCTCCTTTTCTAAATGTAACTGCCACCACAGATGTCCCCCTTTTTTTTTTTTTTTAAAAAAAAAAAAGGTGTTTATCATAGGGCACTTGTGCTAACTGGAGAGAGACAGAGAGAGGGAAAGTAAGAAACCACTCCTTGGGGAACCAGCAGTTAGCATAATGGCTATGTCACTGGACTCCCACATAGTTGACCGCAGTTTGCGTCCCTGGACCCGGTGGCTTAAAACTCACGCCAGGTGCGTGTGCGTGTGTGCCCAAGATCCCGAGAGGAGAATGGAGGAGACGGGATTGTGGCGTGACCATCCCCCCTGGGGGGTGATTTCTTGCTTTCTGTCTCTATGTCTCTCTCTTCTGTCTGGCGAGCGCACGCGCCCTATAGCAAAAAAACCTCTCCCAAAAAAAAGAAACCACTCCTTGGGGCCGGCGGGTGGTGTGGTGGGTAAGGGCGTTGGATTCCCACATGGCCGGCCATGGTTCAAGGCCTGAACCTGGTGGCTTACTTTCTTGCTTTCCCTTTCTTTCTCTCTCTGGTGGTCAAATCAAAAATAACAAGTGGAATTAAATAAATAAATAATAATTTTTTAAAAAAAGAAAAAAAACCACTCCTTGGGGAGATGGCCACGCCTCGTTCTGTTCTCCATTCTCCTCCTGGGATTCTGGGAATGCATGTACACACATATACCAATGATTTTCAAGGCCATGTGAGAGTCCAACATCTTAACCACCACACCACATGCCAGCTCCAGACATCCTTTTTTTATTTTTTTAAAGATAATCTCAGATCATATTCTTTCTTTCTTTTTTAAAGTTTTCACCACAGAGTATGTGCTGTGCACTCACCAGAGAGAGACAGAGACAGATAGTAAGAAATCACTTCCCAGGGAAGAGGGCCACACCACAATCCCCTCTTCTCTATTCTCCTCCTAAAATTTTTGGGCATGCATGCACATGCACCCAGTGTGATTTTCAAGTAGCCAGGTTCGGGACTCGAGCTGCAGTTGGTGATGTGGGAGTCCGATGCCTTAAACACTACTCCTACCTACTGGCCCCAATCACATTATTTATTAATATACTCCAAGGATATTATATACCGTAGAAAAATAATTTTTATATATATGATCTTCAGCTATGAGTGAGAATTCATAAATTTTGTGGGGAATGGGAAGTATAAGTTTGCTTTGGTACAAAAAGTTTCAAACCTATACACAGTTTTTCATAATACACATTTTCCATTAAGTTTTTGAAGACTCCTTGTATATGAATGGTCATATTTTAAATTCATAAAAACAAAAATGCTTTTTAAATTTTACATAACTTAACCCGCAGATAGCAAGACTAAAGGCAAATTTTATCTTTTTATTTTTATTTCTGCTATATTTTTAGGAAGTTCTCTGTATAAAATATAAAGTTAAAATTGCAAACACTAATATACACTAAAATTCAAGGTAGCAAAAGGGGAAAAACCAAAGTATATTGATTGATTTATAAAAATGATGATACTGGGGCCAGCAGGGGGCCTGGTGGTTAAGGTGCTGCGCACTCCTACAAGGCTGACCACAGTGAGTCCCAAACCTGGTGGCTTGCTTTCTTTCTCTCTCTCTGTCTCTCATCAAAGTAAAATAAATAAATGAGTAAATAAAACTAAAATAATTCTTTTAAAAAATAATAATAATAAATAAGATTGAGTAATTCCTTAAAAAGAAAAAGATGATACTTTACCTTAGTTGTGCCTCGTAAATCATTAATAGAATCAGGGATCTCAGTAACAATGTAATCTGAAATCAGCTTAGCTGCAACCAAATCCTGTAGCATCAGACCTTCAAGAGAAACAGACAGAGGTCACATGTGTTCTGCTGTCAATTTATACACACGCTAATGCTTTTCACTACGCTGATCTAACTCACTCCTGTAGTGAACATTCACTGTGGGAATTGTCCCAGTGATTCCCAGCCCTTTCTCAGACCCAGGGGTCTACCCATTTATTATTCAACGTTAGTTCATTCTTTCTTTTTTTCTTTTTTTGGAGAGGTTTGCTATAGAATGCTTGCATCTGCCAGAAAGACAGGGACAGAGAGACAGAAAGCAAGAAATCACCCCCAGGGGAGATGGCCACGCTGCAATCCCTTCTCCTGCATTCTTCTCTCAGGATCTTGGGCATGCACATACACATGCCCAGCGTGAGTTTAAGCCACTGGGTCTGATACTCGAACCGTGGTCGACTGCATGGGAGTCCAGCACATAGCCATTATGCCAACTGCTGGTCCCAGTTCTTTCTTTTTTTAAAAAATAATTATTTAATTTTTATTTATTTTTTTATTTGACCAGAGAGGGACAGAGCAAGAGGGAGGGAAAGTGAGAAGCAAGCCACCAGGTCCAGGGCTCGAACCACAATCAGCCACATGGGAGTCCAGCACCCTTAACCACCACACCATCTGTCGGCCTCCAGCACTAGTTCTTAAACAAGACTTCCTTCACAAACCATCCTCCACTTCCTTCTCGACAGGATCCCCTCCTGGGCTAGGCACGAGCACCACCAATGGAAGTGCAGGCTGGAAGGGCTTGGCCTGCAGGAGCTGCTTAAGCTGCAGCAGGGCCGACAGCCAGTACACATCCTCCTCAACCACATCTTCACTTTTCACTTTGGGAAGAAGCAGCAGCATGAGTCCACTGGCTCCCAGGAGGTCCTTTTGTGTCTCCACAGCATCAAGGGCACCATCACTGAGGGCACCATGGGCTACCTGCAATAGCATCCAGACTGTCAGGATGAATAGGTCAGGGAAAACATCAGTAGTGAATGATCTGCTCAGAGTAAGTACACCAGAGTACACCATACAACAAATGTTTACTGCACTCCAGACAGGCTTGCAGAGGCACTGCAGGTCCAGCCCTCCCTCCATGAGATCATCAATGTGTCCAAGAAACAGCCAGCTGAACAGAATTTAGCTTTCAGCTAGAGTTGTGTTTATCATATTACCATAATCTTCACAGTAAAACAGTGAAGCCCAAAATGACAGAACATGTGTAAAGTAAGCCAGCAGCAGATAAGAGATTCAGATACATTTCTAGAAAGCAATGAGGAATGGACCAATCACTGGGCTAGACAAAGAGGAAGCCACACCTGAAGGCTACAGATGTGGATGTATAAAGAGCCAGGCTGATTAAGCCTACAAAAGCACCAAACACCCAGGCCTCACAGACACTAAGCCCCACAGGCCAGTTTCAGAGAGGCACAATATGTCTCCTTGGGCAGGAATCCTGAGAGGATCCAGATACCTAGGCACCATCAGGCACAGTGAATGTTGACTCAGCATTCTTCACCCTACTCTAAGAGTACCAACAGTTGCCCTGGAGAAGAGATGGGACAAGTCCTTTCCAGAGAAACTGAGCAGCCCAAGGAACAGATGTATAGATCCAGACATGTTGGAGTCCCCCAGAAAAAGGCTTGCTTGCCATTCAGTTCCATTCTACCCTATCCCAAACACAGAACTTCTTACCAGTCTTTTAGGGCTTCACTCAGGTATGGACAGATGGTGTTAACTAAGGCATCTGAGGAGAGCCTCCAACATGGAGAAATAGAATAGCAGTGCAAACAGAACCCAGAAGGAATAGATAATGCATAGAACATAAAAACACTCAAATCCCCAAATCCCTGATATCCTCAAAAAGATAAGATGATGCATCCAGAAATAGTAAAAATAGGGATAAGGAGGAGGAAACTATATTAAATAAAAAATCCAATAGGACATTTGGAAAATAAAATATTTTTAAAACTTCTAGAACAAAGTATAAAGAGATAAAAGAAAAAAGGATAGAAAGCAATCAAGGGTCAGAGGATCAATTGATGAGGTCCAAATCTGACTATAATAGATAGGTACAACAGAAAACAGAAAAAAGGAAATTAGGTATCATAAAAAAAATTCCAGAAATGAGACAGTTTCCACTCTGAAAGGACATGCTAAGCATAGCACAATGAGTATTTGTGCACTAGGTATATCAAAGTGAATTCTCAGAATGCCACAGACAAGGAGAAATGGATTCCAAAGAGAAAATGAGGTCACATAGCAAGAAACAGAAATAGCCTCAGACATCTCAGCAGCAACAGTGTCAGCTAGGTAACAATGGAGCAAAACTAGAAGGAAAATAATTTTCTACCTATGAATCTGTTGGATTGTCAGAAAAGTCATGACACATTTTCACAAAAATAAATATGTAATGACTTTTCTGACACCCCAATACAAAACCTAGTTGAACTATGGAGGAAATGTAAGGATAAAATAAATGCGTTTTTATAAAGGAAAGGACTCAAAAAATTCCCTTCCCATGCATCCTTCCTTTGGAATGGCAAATAGGACATCAAACAAGGGACTAAACCAAGAAAAAATATTGTTGTTGCTGCTAATGGCAGCACTGAACAAGGACTTGGTGTCTGTCAGGCACTGTTCTAAACACTTTGTGTACAAACGCATTTCATCCTCCAGAGTTTGATGAGCACTGCCAATAGGTAGTAGCTTTACGCCCTTGGACAAACTTTTCTGAATAAAATAGGGATAATAAGTGAAAGTGCCAGTACATAGGCTAAGGAACTTGTCCAAGGTCATAGAGCTAACAGGTAGAGAAGCAGGGAACCATGCTTACAACAGTGGCTCTAAGGCACATGCTATCTGAATGGTGGCCCCAATGGCAGCCACACCCTAGGACAACTATGAGCCTAGAAGGGAGCAAGACAACAGTACTTTCTCAAAGGGAGGGCTCCAGGAGATAGGGGATATGGATGGATCAGATAAAGTGACAGAACATTTGGAAAAAAAGTTACATATATAGTCTATCTGGTAAAAATGAAAGAGATATAAAATTACATAAGTGAGAAAATAATTCTCAGAATGCCACAGACAAGGAGAAATGGATTCCAAAGAGAAAATGAGGTCACATAGCAAGAAACAGAAATAGCCTCAGACATCTCAGCAGCAACAGTGTCAGCTAGGTAACAATGGAGCAAAACTAGAAGGAAAATAATTTTCTACCTATGAATCTGTTGGATTGTCAGAAAAGTCATGACACATTTTCACAAAAATAAATATGTAATGACTTTTCTGACACCCCAATACAAACCTAGTTGAACTATGGAGGAAATGTAAGGATAAAATAAATGCGTTTTTATAAAGGAAAGGACTCAAAAAATTTCCTTCCCATGCATCCTTCCTTTGGAATGGCAAATAGGACATCAAACAAGGGACTAAACCAAGAAAAAATATTGTTGTTGCTGCTAATGGCAGCACTGAACAAGGACTTGGTGTCTGTCAGGCACTGTTCTAAACACTTTGTGTACAAACGCATTTCATCCTCCAGAGTTTGATGAGCACTGCCAATAGGTAGTAGCTGTACACCCTTGGACAAACTTTTCTGAATAAAATAGGGATAATAAGTGAAAGTGCCAGTACATAGGCTAAGGAACTTGTCCAAGGTCATAGAGCTAACAGGTAGAGAAGCAGGGAACCATGCTTACAACAGTGGCTCTAAGGCACATGCTATCTGAATGGTGGCCCCAATGGCAGCCACACCCTAGGACAACTATGAGCCTAGAAGGGAGCAAGACAACAGTACTTTCTCAAAGGGAGGGCTCCAGGAGATAGGGGATATGGATGGATCAGATAAAGTGACAGAACATTTGGAAAAAAAGTTACATATATAGTCTATCTGGTAAAAATGAAAGAGATATAAAATTACATAAGTGAGAAAATAAGGCAATTATTTCCTGCAGAAAAAAACAGAAGTAGTCACTTCCGTTTTTGAAACAAACAGTAGTCACAGAGCCATCAAAATATGACCCCACTTACTGAAGTAATATAAAGTGATGATATAGCTGGGGTATGGTAGCAACCACCCATGACAAAGTGATGATGTAGCTATGCTGTAAAAGTAGGGAAGGCTTAGTGGGAACTGGTGTAAGAGGCCTCTCCTCACCTAGTACGGTATGCAGCCACCAAGACTGTCCTCCATGAACCCACTTCCTTATGTTAATGTCCTTATAAATCCACTACCCTGAATGATGAATGACCCTAGTGACTCAATTCTAACAGACAGAATCCAACATAAGTGATAGGATATCACTAATAAGAGTAGGTAATAAAGGGACTATCACATCCACCATGGCTCACTCTTCCTTGCTCAGTCTTATGAAAACCAGCTGCCACATTGTTAGCTGCCTTTTGGGGAGAGCCACATGGCAGGGAACTGAGGAAGTCTCTGGCCATAGCCTGTAAAGAATTGAATCCTGAACACACCACAAGTGAGCTTAGAAGTGGATTCTCTATCAGTTGAACTTTCAGATAAAATCATAAACCTAGCCAACATTCTGATTTCTCCCTTGTGAACCAGAGAATCTAGCTAAGCTACATCTGGATTCCTGACCTCCAGAAACCATGATCTAACAAATATCTGTCCTATAAAGCTGCTATACTGGAGGGAATGTGTTATGTAGCAATAGATAACTAACACATTTAGTTTAATGGGAAGTCAGGAGAGAACATCTAAATGGGTAAATTAAGAAATAGTATGAGAATATGATTTGGAAATATGGAAAATTAAGCCCTGAGGAAAGGGAAAGGAGGCAGGGGCAGCTATTTCTCATTTAACTTTTTAAATACACCAACTTTTCTCTGAAAAGTATGTCAGCCAAGGCTCATTGCTCTACTGGAATCTAGCTTGGTACCTCACACCAAACAGGTATCCATGGGTGTCATCAGGATACAAGGAGAGACAGACATGACATCTGTTTCTGAGACTCTCAAGGTCTTTCAAAAGCACTTTAGAGAATAACATTTATATGATTTCAGTGATATCTGGGAGTGAGCAAAAATGATAAAATCACAGAAGTAAATATACAAAGTGATTGTCACTCACCTTTATACATACACTGACAGAAACTGTCTGGTCCCCTTTGCTGCTAAGTGCATTAAAAAGTGTGAGTGTCTGAATCCCATTAACATCACTGCATGTGTCATCTGTTGAACCGTCATCTCCCATGAATTTGACTTTTAACCAATTTGCTAGAATTCTGTAGATAAAAGAAAACAATCTTAATTCTAAATTTGAACTATAAAGATTTTCAGGAAAAGAAGAAAGAGAAAATATCATATCGATGGAAGTCTACAGACAGCAAACCTTTGTTTTTTGTTTACTTTTTTAAATTTATCAGAGTGTATTTACCAAAGAGAGGGAAAGCAAAAAGCACCACCACCCCACTCTCCTACCCCATGGGGAATGGTCACACCATAATCTCAATCCCTTCTCCATCTCTCCTTATGGAGTTTTAGGCACACACTCACACACATGAACCTGTTTTCCAAACTACCAGGTCTAGGACTTGAACTGTGTAGTCAGCCTTGTAGAATCCAGCTGTCTTACCACCAGACCACAGGCTGACCCAAACAGACATCAAATCTTACTGCAGAGTTCAACTGGACAAAACAGACTCTCATTTCAAAATGGAGCTAGCAAAAAAAAAAAAGGGAACCAGCAGTTAGCGTAATGGCTATGTCGCTGGACTCCCATGTAGTTGACCGCGGTTTGCATCCTGGACCCGGTGGCTTAGAACTCACGCTGGGCACATGTGCGTGCGTGCCCAAGATCCCGAGAGGAGAATGGAGAAGGGATTGCAGCGTGACCATCCCCCCTGGGGGGTGATTTCTCGCTTTCTGTCTCTCTGTCTCTCTCTGTCTGGCGAGCACACACGCCCAATAGCAAAAATCTCTCAAAAAAAAAAAAGGAGCTAGGAACTCTAGTAGTTATTTATTTGGGTAGAAGAGAGAGCACACTCATACAACTGGCTAATTCCTCTTGAAGAGCTAGGAAAAAATTTGAAGCACTAATAAACACTCCTAGAGTTTGAAATACATGTTTTACAGAATCAAAATCCAGAAATCTGAGACCTGAGACCTTAAGAATTTCTAAGTGATGGAACCAGCAGATGGCATAACGGTTATGTTACTGGACTCCCATGTAGTCTATCTATGAGTCCTGGATCCAGCAGCTTGAAACTCATGTCGGGCACGTGAGTGCACGTGCCCAAGATCCTGAGAGGAAAATGGAATAGAAGGAATTGCGACTTGGCTATCGCCCCTGAGGAGTGATTTCTCACTTTCTCAGAGACTTTGTCTTTCTGTCTCTCTCTCTCTCTCTCTCTGGTGAGCACACACGCTATAACAAAAATCTCTTTAAAAAATAAAAACTAAAAAATATAATTTCTAAGGGATATATATTTCCTAATGAATTTACCAAATCAGAAGGCAGCTGTTTTTAGAAATAAATAATGGGCCTAGCAGGTGGCATGGTGGTGAAACGTGCTGGATTCCCACATGGCTGACTGCGGTTTGTGTCCCAGACATGGTAGCTTGCTTTCTCACTTTCCCCCTTTTCTCTGTCTCTCTCTGGTAAAATTCAATAAATAATAATAATAATGGGGCTGGCAAGTGGCATGGTGGTTAAAGGTGCTGGACTCCCACATGGCTGACCACAGTTCAAGTCTTGGACCTGGTGGCTTGCTTTCTCACTTTCCCTCTCTCTCCCTCTGTCTGTCTTTCTCTGATCAAACTGGAAAATATAACAGTGATAAAAAATAAAGTTAAAAAAATTAATTCTTTAAAATAATAATAATAATAATGGGGCTACCAGATGGCATGATGGTTAAGGGTGCTGGACTCCCACATGGCCAACTGTGGTTCAAGTCCCTGACCTGGTGGCTTGCATGTGGTTCTCTCTCTCTGTTCCTCTCTGATCAAATTTAAATAAATAAATAAATCTAAATATGATCATTCTTTTTAAAAAATAATAAGAAATAAAGTTAAATAATTATTTTTTTAAAAAAGAAATTGTAATTTAAATATTTTTTTCCTTTTTGGCTATAGGGGATGGATGTGCACTCACCAGAGACAGATAGAGGGAGAGAAGGTAAGAAATATCCCCTAAGGGGGGGTGATGACACCACAATCCCTTCTCCTCTGTTATCCTCTGGGAGTTTGGGCACACATACATATGCATGCCCTGGCTTAATTTTCAAGCTGTTGGGTTGTCCACGTGGGATCCAGCTGCCTTAAGCTGTACATCACCTGCTAGCCTGCTACTTTTTTTAAAAAAATCAAATCTAGGATCCGTTAGGTGGCATGATGGTTAAGGGTGCTGGACTCCCACGTGGCCAACTGCAGTTCGAGTCCTGGACCTGATGGCTTACTTTCTCACTTTCCCTCTCCCTCTCCCTCTCGCTCTCGCTCTGTCCCTGTCTGGTCAAAATAAAAAAAAAATAAATAAAGTTAAAATAATTCTTTTAAAAAAAAAAAGCAATATAATTCACATACCACAGACTTTTTTTTTTTTTTTGAGAGGTTTTCGCTATAGGGTGCGTGCGCTCACCAGACAGA